ATTGCCCCCAGACTAGTCGCGATGGATATACTTATCGATATCGACGTCAGGTATGTAACTTGAACTCTAAACTTGAAGTTACATTTTGATCGTTCCCGCGCGCGCGCGGCGATGGCTGCCCGCGTCTCTCTCGCTGAGATGGCAGCCAAAATAAACGGATTGCCTGCGAAGCGCCGCGTCGGCGCGCCGTATCCGAGCAGCTCCGACTCGGACGACTCGGACGAAGACGCGCCGCCGAAGGCGCCCAGTCCACCGGAAACTAGCGCGCAGCCCACTAGTTTTGAATCGAATCATTCCATTCCTGGCAAACCCAGCACTCCATGCGGGACCGAGCTCATGTGTGCCGAGCAAGCCCGCGCGGTGGACCGCGGCGCGGCGAGTGCGCCGCGCCGCGGTCACGCACCAAGCAGAACTCGTCATGACCAACGTCAAGTTCCGCGAGGGCGGCTACGGCACGGACTGGGTCGCGTTCGCTAAGCAGTAATAAAAACTATTAGCAGCCCGCGGGTTTTGGCGAGTGCCCAGTCATCCGTCCGTTTTGGCGAGCCCAACGACTCACCCCGGGGCCCGACGACTTACCTTACGACTTACAATCGGCGCCGACGACTTAAAAACGGGTTACTTATTTCGTTACGTCGGACCCCGACCCGAAGGCGCCCCTCACCCTGGGCGTCGGACGCGCGCGGGAGACGTCGTGCGGCCCTCGTGGCGTCGCCCGCGCCCCGAGCCCCCCTTGTACATCAGCCTGAAAGCATCTATCGACATTCTGAAATTGCGCCTTGGCATCGTGCATAAGGCAACATTAGCATCGAGAAAGGCAACTCCCCGATCCACCACTGTTTCGACGCTCAAGTCACGGTCTCGCGCGCGCCGGCGCGGGCTCCCCCGATCCACCACTGTTTCGACGCTCAAGTCACGGTCTCGCGCGCGCCAGCGCGGGCTTCGCGCGCGCTCTCGCGTTGTTTTTGGGGTGGGATCGCGTCGCCCGTCGCCCTCAGAGTCCATCGCCCGCCGCGCGCCTCGGGGGGTGCCGCCGAAGGTGTTGAGTGCATCAAAGACGCCGTTGAGGTCGCGAAACGTGTGCGCAAAAGCCCCCTGACGCGCGCCCGCCCACGCGTACCCGCCAAAACGCGACTTCCATACCGCCGCGCCTCAGACCCCCCCCCGCAGAATGACACAGCCCGGTGTGTTTGGCAGTGTGACTTAGAGTGCCGCTGGGCAGCGGACCGGGGACCTCAAGGAGGCTGCCCCATCGCGTGGTGCAGCTGGCGATAGGTATCTTTGGCCACGTTGAGGCCGGACTTGCCTCTGGGGACTATCCGTTGGGAGGCCGTTGACGGGGCTGGAGAGGCCGTTGGGGGGAAGTGTCCTTGGCGTCCTGTGCTCCCCCGCAGCGAGCTGGGGAAGTAGCGCGGACACGCGAGATGAGGATGTGGTCTAGGCGTTCTCGTCGACGACAAGGGGCGGGCCCTCTGCGGGGCGGCCGCTCATGGCGTCGATGGTGCGCGCGAGGCGGTCGGCGACCTCGGGAGCCGTAAGCTGGTTCGCCGGGTTCGCGGCGGAGCGGACGTAGCGGATCTCCACCTCGCCGCTGTCGAGCGCGTCGTAGACAAACCCCAGCTGAACGCGGATGTGGCGCGATCGCGCGGAAAGGTCGCGTTTGCGCAGCTGCGCGATGACGGACTGGTTGTCGCAGTAGACGCGGCTCACGGGGAGAGTAGCGCCGGTGACGTAGGAGACCGTGCGTCGGAGCGAGATGATGAGCCGTACGATGACGACGAGCGCGTAGAGTTCGGCCTCGAAAGTGGAAAGCGCGGTCGTCTTCTGGGCCGACGAGAAGCCGGCGACGCAGGCGCCACACAGGGTGACGAACCCCCCCGACCGGGACTTGCAAAAGCCCGACGCCGTGTGGTGGACCTCGTTGCCGTGCGAGGCATCGACCCACCCGTCGAGGTACAGGCTCTCCTTGCGTGTGTACGTGACTCCGAGCGCCGTGTTGTGGTTCAGGAAGCGAAGCGCCCGGGCGCAGGCCGCACGGACGGCCGGCGTCGGCGCGTTCGGCGACGCCGCGGATGGCCGCGCGACTGTGCTCAGGATGCCGTAGATGCTGAGGTACCATGGCATTGTACGCGTCGCCATGTATCCGATGGACCCGAGGACCGAGTCGACGTTGAGGCCCGCCGGCGCCGGCGCGCCATGCGGCGCGTCGACGTCGCTGGCGTGGAACGTCGCGTGCATCGGAGTAGGCACGCGGTTGGACTCGGAGAATCCGAACTTCTCGACGACCTTTTTCGCGTACGTCTCCTGGGAGACGTGAACCCAGCCTGCGGCCGGGTCGTTGCTGATCTCGAGGCCCAGGTAGTCCTGCCCGCCCTCGGTGAGCGGGAACCGGTCAGCAAGCCGCGTCGCGATGTAATCTGCGACCTCGCAGACGCCAATGACGAGAATGTCGTCGACGTAAACCAGGACGAAGACGCAGCCAGAGATGGCCCCGGTCAGGCGAAGGCAGAAGAGGCAGCGGTCAGCCGCGTGCTGAGTGAAGTTGAGCTCGTCGACGAGGTACGAGCAGAGCGCGTCGAACCAAACTTTCCCGCTGTCCGTTGCGCCGTAGATGTTCTTCTGGACGCGGAGCAGGTACTGGCTGGGCTCGAAGGGAAGGTTCCCGGAGTGGCGGGCGAGCAGGAGT